TCTTGTGATTGAATTTGCCTCCTCATTGCTTTTTCCATTATTTGCGATTTGATTTTCCTCCAACTCCATCCTCTTCAGATCATCCAATGATTGTTCAATTAACTCCCAAATTCTTTATCCTATCTCTTCTACTAACGCCTAATCCCCCTTTCCTGTGTCATTCTCTTTTGCATCCATAGCTGGTGGCTTGTAATGAGGCCGGGAACCTAGATAACAGGTAGCAGACAGACTCACATTAGTACCCAAAAACAAACTTACAGTCATACCTTGATGGAGAAAGGAGGGAGACTTTGTTTCCTTTCCTTTGTCAGTAAGAGTAGAGTCACAGTCCTTTCTGGGTTGGTCTTGCTAAGAACCAATTTTTGGGCAAGAAGTATCTTGTGATTTCCTTCCTAAACTCTACGTTTTGTCCCTTCTTCGTATTTCCTCGTTACACCTCGGTGCTCCTTAACATCCTCCTTACAGCTCCCTTGCTTAGGATTTCTAACTGAGAGTGATTCTTCCCGCCAACCCTTTAGCAAATCTAACAAGCCATCCTCTTCAAACCACATATGTTCACACCTAAAGGACGGGTTTTTCACCACCACAATCCCTTTGCATTCCAACAAAACCAAAGAGTGATATATGAAAGAGGTCTGGGAGAGCTTACTGGGATAAATTTGGAAAGCTTTCCTCCCAATCTATTGATACTATGAATCTGTCCAGTTTCTCCAGAATAGGGAAATCTTGATTATTTGTCCAAGTGAACTGGGCACCTGTTAGAGGAAAATCTACCGATTCCCATCTTCAAATAAACTGAGAAAAACCTCTCGTCCCCCTACAGCCTCTATTTCCTCCCCTTTTTTCACTAGCAAACCTCATTGCATTGAAATCCCCCCGCCACAATGACCCAAGGAAACTCCTTTTCCCAAATCCCATTCAATTCTTCCCGAAAATCCCCCCTTCTGTTACCTTCATTGGGACCATACACCCCCATAAAAACCCAGCTGAAGCTCCCCTCCATCGATTGGAAGAGAATGGAAATAGAGAAATATTACCCTTAACTACCTCTCAAGAAAAATAAAATCTTTAGATCCCAAATGGTCAATAAACCTCATGTTGTCCTCTTAGTTGCAATATCCTCCCAAAAGCAGTCCCTCTCCCCACAAACCTCTAACCACCCCAGAGCTTAGGTCCTCCATCTTTGTCTCTTGAACACAGAGGATTGTTGGGCTCCACTTCTCCAAAAAGCCCCTAGCCACCATCCTTCTCCGACCTGAATTGAGCCCTCTGATATCCCAGGAGAAGATTCTAAATTGGTCCATTTTCTTAGAGCAAAAAGAATTCCTTTTCTAAAAACTTGAACCTTTTCTTTTTCTTTCCCTTTTTTTCTTTAAAAAGTGCCTCGAAAACTATTTTTAGTGCCCTTTTCTTCCTCCTTTGCCTAAGGGTGCCGAACTTCCCGCCTTGTCGCTCAAGCCCCATATGAGCCTAAACAACTCTCTACTTGTTTTCCTTCCTTTCTAGCATCTGTCTTTCGATCTCAGAAAGTAACAAAATTGTTTCTGCTTCCAGCCTTGTCGTTCAACCCCCACAAGAGCCTAAACAACTCTCTACTTGTTCTTCTTCCTTTTTTACGTTTCTCTTCTAGTGTCTATCTTTCAATCTCAGAAATCAACAAAATTATTTTTGCTTCCATGCCTTTAAAAGAGACCCCAAGAAATTCCCCAAAGGCCAAAAGCTTCAACAATACCCAAGGAGAAACTTCACCATTCCAGTCTTATTGATCTTCCACCAATGCTCCATTTCCAAAACAAACAGTTTGTCTTTGTTCCATTGGAGGCCAACTATCCACTGGGAGCAAAGCAACCAGGCTTACCACTAAAAGCGTCGTCTCCTACTACTACCTCTTCAAAGGAACAAGGGTTCAAACTTTCTCCTGGCTTCCCTTCTTACACACAAGGACCATAACTTGACTCACCTTTTTCGATCAGTGACTAACAAGGTGATCTTCTTTGACTTTGGGAGCTCTGGATTTCCTTGGGCACTAATAAGTTGGTTCCAGCCTCTGCTAAGACCGAAATGGGCTCACTAGCTACTACCAAAACATTAGGATCACCCTGAAGTTGAGTTCAGGTCGGATCAGAAAGGGGCTTTTCTGTTGGTTTGGCCAAAACCTGATCTGCTTCTCTTTGTCTAAGCCAACTACGAGAGTTTACACATGTCCCTCTTCTACTGCCACCGCTTACATGCCTAGACCGATCCCCTGACCACGTGCTACTCCTATGTGTCCTGATAGAACTACAAGACCTATAATATCGAGGTTTTCTCATCCTACTTCCGCCTTCCCTCCTTTTGAAACCCCCCCATCATTTCTAACCTGGCTAAACACTTTTCCACCACAAAGTTAATCACCTTTTCTTGTTCCAAGTTTGAAATTTGAATCAAGTTGCTTTTCTGACAACAAATGTCAAAGCTATTCACGTTACCTTTAGACGACCAATGGTCCTTAGCACAATCTTTTCTTCCCTGCTTTGTAAGTAACTCTTGCTCCCTCCTCTCTCCCAGGTGCCACGTGGCAACCTAACCTCTGTTGCACCCCAAACAACCTTTGGTCTTCTCCAGATTCCAGAAACTGCAACAATGCCGGTGCCAGAGTTGTGTCTTCCTCAACCGAGGAGAGGTTAACCATTACCACTTCTTTTCCTTTGGTTTCTCTCTTAACTTCGACTGAAATGCTTTCCCCTGCTAGAAATTTATGGATCCAACATTCCTCTGCCTCTATCACTTCCCCATAATCCAAAGTTGGAGCCACTACCTCAAGAAGAATTCCAGGCCAAATTGTAACCACAAAAACCTTTTCCCCATCAACCACACTTACCGCTGACGGTGGAAAGCCTTTCCAGGACGCTTTCACCCTAATACATTCCACCGTTTCTCTTGCCTCTACTGTGTTGTCTATATCCAAGTAGCCTCTGCATAAGTTTCCAATTTTCCTCACCAGCTCCTCACTCCACAGGTGGAGTGGAAGACCAAAGATTCTGAACCAATACAAGTCGGGAAAGCCAGTCTCCCTCTGCCAACAACCTTCTGATTCCTCCCATGGATACAGGTGAAGCAAAGCTCCTCCAACATTTCTAGCACCCAATCTAAGAACTCTTCTCACTTTCTCCAATGACAGAAGAATAAAGAGAAACTTGTTTTTGGCCATTCTCCTCACCCTTACCCCCTAAAGAAACGTCCCAATATTTTACAGCCCAACATTGTAGGTCTTCAACTGAGAAGTTCATCTCCATTAATACCAACAATGCAAGCCTCCAGAAACTTCAATCATTACAGTTCTCCTTCTCCATCTGGAACAAGGTAGAAGCATTTTGAACCGACTTTTAGGTTTACTCTCCCCTCCTTTGACCAAGACAAGAGTTGAGCCTTCTCAGCATATGAGAAAGGCCTTTCTTCTACCTAAAAGTTATTACAAAAGTTTTCCACTCTGCCACTGTGCCTATCTTCCCTTTTTTCCAGCCAAGCAATCGTCCCAAAGCTCTCTCCCCTATATATGAGTCTTTCCCTTCCCGGAGCTACCCTCCTTTCTAATCTAACCCCCTTGAAAGTCGTCGGAAGATTCCACAGTGAAGATATAGTCTGTCAACGACGGCTAACAAAGCTATCGGCCATCATCCAAACAAATACCAGGAACTGCCAGTGGCTATCAGTTCCAGTCAGCAACCATCATGAAGTCGTATTATTCACCAATCTAACTTTCTCTCCTCTGGATCACTTCTCTCCACCACCTGTTCCCAATCAACACTAGAGAGTTTGAAAACACAGAAAGGAGGTGAAATACAACAATTTGGTTTTCTTTTTTGCAAAAGATTGCAAGTATTGATCTTTTTTATTTTAAATGGCATGTTTCCCAATAAGAGCCCTAATTCTAGCAGGGACAAGAACCCATACCAAAGAGACTTAAAAGGAAAGGGAGGTGAAGGAGAAGAAGAGGAAGAGAGTGTTTTGAAGATCGAGGAACAAGAGAAATAACCCAAAGGGGAAATTGACCAAATACAAGACTCAAGACTAGATGGTCCAGCTGATAAAAAAAAGGACCGGATGGATCCAAAGAAACTCCTCCCATGAGAGATAAATCCAAATACATTTCATCCGGTATTGTCTGTGCAGGAGAGAGATCTCATTTTTCTCTCTATCCAATTTCTCTCCCACTTTATTCTCTTTGTTGTAATTTAATATGAGCACCTCACGTGCAGAAACCTTTTCTATGTCACAGTTGGAAGACCAATCCACTAGTTCATATCCCCACCCTTGAACCTCCACGGTAATGAAAATATATGGTGCTGCTTGATCAAAATGCTAAGTCCATCCAAATATGAAACACCACATCAAATTAAATAGAGTCCAATCCACTAGTCCATATCCCCAACTAGCCAGATAAACTGCACACTCACGGTAAATGCTAAGTCCACCAAAATGTTGGAGTAGCTTACCACAAATATGAAACACCACATCAAATTAAATAGAGTTCCAAATGTGCTGCAGAGTCTAGACCAAGGTAAAGCAACAAGTTGTCTCTTTCAGACAGTTGGCTAATAGGTTGGCAATGATAAATAATAAATGCAAAGAACAAATGCAAGAAATTTGTATAATCAGCAAATACACAACTTAATACAGCATAATCTTAACAAGAAAAGATTGTTATTTATCCATCTCCCACATTAATAGTTTTTTTATAGATATCTCCCACATTAATACTATTCATTCCATTATGTACGGACGGTATTATAACTTCACAAAAGTAATAATATTTTCTTAGTGATAGTTCAGTAACATCAGATAAAATTTATGGATGATTGAGGAATTGAACATCAATGCATTCCCACTCCCAAATCTATTGCTCTAGAAAAAAGCTCAAATTGTGTTTCTACATCCCAAATTGAAATTTCAAAAAGTTAGGACAAAAGGAGAGGTTGAACTAAACAAGTATTATCTGCATAGAATGGCAAAACAAATACCAGAAAATTTGTGACGCTTCAGCCTTCTCCTTGAATCTGCTTTTCTGTCAGAGCTAGATTTCTTTGCAAGTCGACCAGCATTAACATTTACAAGCCTGGAGTCCCTTTCCTCAAATTCATTTGTGAAAGCTTCATCCAAAACCTTAGCCTCCCTGGTTTCAGAATCAAGGGTATCAGAAGGCAATCCACCATCATCATCCTGAGCTTTTTCTACAACAGAATGATCTTTATCATGTTCTGGATCATCATATTCTTCCATGCGAGAATCTTGAGAATCAATACCATCATTATATTCATCATCAGAATCAACATCTTCATCATGCAATCCTGAGTCAACACCATGAGGTGTGTCACCTCTTTTGCTATTGTCCTGTCCTGACTGTCCAACATTCTTCAGAGAAGCCTGGTATTCTGCTTCATAAAGTTTCAGTTCATCACGCCCAGCTTCATTATACAATCCTGCACTTGTACGATCCAAACTATGCTTCCCATTTGACTTCTTCCTGGTACTATTAACGGGCTTTTGCTTACTGCTACTCCTCTCTTTCGTAGCCGCGTTTTCATTGTCTAGAGGTCGATTACCATCACCACCACTGAGCTCTGATACATCCTCATTGTATTCTTCATCCCTTCTTCTGTCATCCCTATCCCAGTATCTTGAGTCCCTACCATGCGATACAGAACCATGACCAAACTTGAGGATTCTCGGAACCCTGGTCCGTGTTACATTTGTGAGAAAATCTAAGTCATTCTTCGCGTCATCATCCTGATTATCAGACCTGTTCAATTCTGCACAGCGCATTCCTTTCTAGTCATTTAACAGGTAATTGCAGTAGCCCGTCCGAATGCTCGATTAACAAAGAGAAACAAGAACGGGGAGGAATGAGGGCTGATGTTCAAAACTAGAAATATACATGTAATGAATTTGTATTTACTGTGCAAATAGCAACTATGTTCATCAAATGAGAAGTAGAAAAGCAAGACAAAATCACTGAGAGTTTGCACTTCTTCCCCGCCAGAGTTGGATCTAAACAAAGAACAGCCATAAATGACTAAAACTTTCCCATTTTAAACAGATTCTTTCACAAGTTCTGTTTATTCTGTTTAGAAGAGGATTTAGCCATTTTACAGATCAAACAGAATTAGGGGCAAAAGGATAGCCATTTTTAAACAGAAATAAGTCCAATTTTAGAAAGTAAAAAAAAAAAATCGAGCAGTTAAAAGGAAAGCACTAATGAATCAAAAGTCAAGAGAAATCAATCCACCTTTATCTCTGGAAACGTAATTATAAGCGAAGAAGGTGACTACGAGGACGAGAGACAGAATCACAATGACTGTGCCGATCGAGATCTTCCAACTCTTGTCAGAGCGACCGGATCTTCGTGCTCGACCTTGTTTGTGCGAGACCCGAATGCCAACCGAGACCTGGTCCGGATTCGAGCTTCCATTGCCGTGGTGGAAATCATGGCTTCGGACTGTGAATCTATCCGCGCCTGCTTGCCTGTACTGAGCCATTCCAACATTGTTTTCACTAATCTGAAACTTCGATCAAACCACAGAGGTTTATTGTTTTCTAATAAATGCTCTCCATTTCAGGATTCTAGGGTTTTCGATTCTCCAAGACTCCAACTGAGGAGATCAGAGTCAGACTCTCTCTCTCGCTCTCTTCCTTGGTCTCGCTTTCTCTTCGTTCTTACAATTTACTCTGTTAGTTGATTTTTTTATTTTTATTTTAATTCTATTTTCATCATCACAATTCACAAGAGCCGAAAAGGCATGAGAAAGAAGACAAGAAATTGAGCGTTGCAGCCGGCGATTAATACCTGAATGAAACGGCGATTATTTACATAGGTCGCGTAGTAACAATTGGGTGTTTTGGTTCAGCTGGATATCACATTGGCGCCCGACACAGCGCGCCCCACAGAAGCCCCATAACACATCTGAACGGTGTATCGGGAACATCTCCCAATTATAAGTACTGGAGATAATTACCCATGGGCCATGCACGCTGAGATGTACTAGTGGGACGCTTGTGGGGTGCGCTTTGAAGAGCGCAAATGTAAACTCGTTCAACTGTTATTTGGATACGTACATAGAAGCTCTTAGCTTGCCACGTGTATGATTATCAGAAGTTGGGACCCAACACTAAGCAGGTCCCACATGTATGACTTCTAAACATATCTGGGTTTCCACGTTGGAAAAAAACTGAATTTTAGAAAATTTTCAATTTTCAAAGGAGTTGGTCTATGGATGATCATCTGCCGGGCCTAGCCAGGCTTAGCACATACTGTATATACCCAGGCCAGGACTGAAATATAAGCACAAATAACGAGCGCAGGCCAGGCTTATTGGGAGGGGTGGATTGGATATCGTCTTAACTAGGGCTGTTCATAAGAAGGCCCAACCCGACCAACCCAAACCGATCCAACCTGAGTAGGCTGGGTTTTCATCAGCATCGGTCGGTTTCGGGTTGGGTAAAACCATAAACCGATATATCGGGTCGGATTCGGTTTTTTTATGTGAAAATCGAAATCGACCCGAACCAAACCGAACCAATTAGTTTTCTAGTTCGGTAGTTCCTAGTTTCCTACTTAACTAGTCTTCTACTAGAATTAGAACAACCCTATCTTCTAGTTCTTATTTAACTAAATTGCATCTATCATAATTTCTATAGTCTTTTACACCAAATAGGCAACCCATTAGGCAATTACAATTAGAATTAGGTGTCCTTCTAGTTCTTGGCTTCTCTATCATTTTTGTACAGGAGCAAAACCGAAACCGACCCAATCCAACTCAAACCGACCAGGTCAGTTTTGCCTATCAGTGGGTCGGTTTCGGTTTTCACCTCATGTAACCCGACCAGGTCGGGTCGGTTGGGAAAACCCCTGTAAACCGACCCAACCCGACCCGTGAACAGCCCTAGTCTTAACCTTTGACATTTTTTCCTATAAAGTGTCGTGCTTTTAAATTCACATTTTCACACTTATCCATAGGATGGTCAATGGACCAGTTTTGGATTGGACCCCATTTAAACCAAATTAATTTAAACAGATTGGACAGACCAACAAGACATATTGAATTAGACCAGTTCAGACTTAACGGTATTGAATTGGACCTAGACCATCTACAATGAATTTCTATTGGATTTGGTTGGATTGAGCCAATATCTAGTCCATTGATAAAAAGATAAGAATGTAGGTGTCAATGGACCATATTTAGTTTGGAACCAATCTAAAGTAAGACAAATTTGAATAGATTAGACTGTCCAAACATTGAATTGGAACGGTCCAGAATGTTCATTGGATTGGATTGGACTTGGTCCATTTGTAATGGACTCACATGACTGGATCAGATTGGAGAAAATCTAGTCCAATTGGCAATCCTACTTATCTGCCTGAGATATTATTGTTACACCAAGTAATGACCCTTGGTCTCTTACGAGCCTAAAAAATTGGGCCCAGTCTGACATGAAGCCTTTTGGTCCTAATACAAACCAATGCCTAGAGACAAAACTTAGGCCAAAGTTTGGAAGCTTGGTTAGACTATTTTCAAACCTAGATCTATTGTTCATTTGAAATCAAAAATCACTTTTTCATATAAATGAAAAATAATGGGTTTTATAGATTCAATTAATATTATATTTATGAATGTTTTGTAAACATTTTTTATTTTTTTGTAAATACAAATACATTGTTATTTAATGAAAACTAAAATATTAATTGATAATTATAAAAATTATAAGATATATATCATGCACAAATTTATAAATTTTAAGTACTAAAATAATTATTTTATTATTAATATTTTATTCTATAAATTTCTTGAGATTAAAATCATCTGTTGATGTAAATGTGGATATGATAGATTATTTATTCTATTTGTTTATAAAATACTAATTTTTAACATTATTTCTTTTCATTTTTAGTTGAAGCTATTAAACATAAATATATATTACTTGTTTGGATTGCATATAGACACAAGAGTTAATACAAAACATTAGATGGTTTAGTAGTTTGAAGTTGTGTTAAGAGTTTTAGTGTTTGGTGCTAGGTTCAAATTACACTATAAGCATTAATACAATTTTTCTTAATGGAAAGACATTGTGTATCGATCTCAACATTTATATTCACTAGTAAGTGTCAATTCTATATGATGATAATAATAAGAATAATGTATCAAAATTTTTCTATAAAGTTCATGTATTTTTTATTTTTTTATATTCTTGTTTTTCACTATTAATCTGATGCAGATTGCAAAATTCGAATCTGATTACGTAAGCACCTCATATTGGGCTACAAAATTTTGGCTGAACTTTTGAACATGTATAACTTGGTGTATACTTTTGGCTGAACTTTTCTTTTTTGTAATGTTTTATCTTCTTAGTGTATACTTTTTCTCTTTATTTATCAAAAAATGTAAGATTTAAAAGAAGGGGAATTGAATGAGGTGAAAATTGTAGTTCAAACTACATTTTAAACATCACAATTAAATAGGGATGAATTTCAAAGAAGGGGTATTTTAATCAAAAGAAAGTTTCATAATTTTATTTATTTTTAACAGTAGTGTAAAAATGGTGTTATAGATGTGTTCAATTTTTCTATAACTTTTTATTTCTATGTATGTAAAAATAATGTTATTTACATTTATTTTTTGTTTGATGTGTTAAATATATGATATTGTACATGTTCCCAAATGTTTTTATTTAATTATGACATTAAAGGTTGACAATTTTGACCCAAAAGTTGAACTATTGATCTTCTCTAAATAGGAAAATAATTTCATTTTTGGTTAGTTTTGGATTATGTATTTTATTTTCATCATCGACAAAAATAATTCTTGTTTATTATACTTATTTTTTTTTAATTTGATTGATAAAAAATTATCATAAATGTGTCTATTTTTTCTATATTTTTGTAATTTTCTATATTTGTTTATATTTAAAATTTTTATTATCAAACTATAACTTCATGGGTTGGCCTATTTAATTTGGATAGTTGAATTGCATAGTCATCACTTGGATAAATAATGATTTTTTTTTATTAAGCTTTAAAATATATGGGTTTATATTGTTAAAAGTAATGGACATAGATCTAATTAGTAGCATTTATTAGTGAAAATTAACTTAAATGTGGGGTTTAATAAGAAAGAATGGGAATTAATACCTTAAACATAAGAGTTAATGAGAGGGGATTAAATGAGCTAAAAAGCATTAATTGAAACTACATTTTCAACCTTCATAATTAGAGATTGACTAAATAACAAATGTAGGCATTTTAGTTAAGAAAAGTTCCACACCCTCATTCATACTGTTTATAATACTATAGATATGTACCACCATTGCCACTAATCCTTTTTCTCTCTTTCACAATGTATATTTTGATTTTACAACTCTTGTAGATGTTTCATCTAGCTTGATTCTTGTATTTTCACTAGCTTTTATTTGAATATGTTGGCCTCTAACATCATTGCCATAGTCTTAGGATCCAATTGAGTGCCAAGTCAAAGTCCTACCTCCATGCCATGGTTCAAAATTTTGATACGATATGCCTTGTATCAAGCATGTTGTATTGTATTGGTGGCTTCCTGATACGCCTATTTATAGGTGTTTTGAGAACCCCCATTCTTTTTAATAAAAAATACATGTTCAAAAAAAGACCCAAAACCAAATTTTGAAAAAAAAAACTAAAAAAAGAAGCATAAAAATGTGTTATTTTAAGTATTGAAACACCACTACCAATACATATATAGGGGCACATAGATATTTTGAACCTTGCTCCATGCACCAGTTTGAGTGAACACTATAGCTTAATATGAAGGTCACATTGTGTGGTTGTCATTTTATTTTTGGCTATATTTTTGGATTCTAGCATCCATACCATATAGGTTATTACATTGGTGTTATCTACTTAGGCTTCACAAAACATTATTAGAAGCTTAAATGGCTTCATGCAAGTTATACTTATTTTTGTCAATGAGCAACTCAAGGTTTCATTGTGATCCATGCGTTGGATTTGTCTTTGAAATCTTCATCCTCTTTGGGCCTAAAAGAAGCATGTGTTAGATGGTTGTGGGGGCACTTGAGCCCATCTCTTTTTATTATTATTATTGTTTTTTAATTCATGTGTCACATTCGACAAAACTAGCAATATAATTCTGTAGGTTGCATAGAGTTCAAGATAAGTATATGAGAATTCTATGGTAAAACGGAAGGATGAGAAAAAACCTTCATATTTCCCATCACACACAACTGTCTCATTTGAAAATCTTTTTTTAGAAATTTCTATTTTGAGTTGAATTAGAATAGGGTTCTGGGCTTCTAGCTAGGCTCAATATAATTATACCCAACTAAGGGTATTTGAGTTGTAAACACACCATGCTAATTGAACATCAAATACCTAAGATATAAAGAAGAAGAAGAAGAAGAAGAAGAAGGAATATGCTAGACATTATCACAATCACAAATTACAATAGCATATGAATGTGCTTACCAAAAAAACATAATAGGAATATGCTAATAAACGTAAAAAATTAATTAAAAATTAAAGAAAACTAATATTTTTTTATAATTACATTTATTAGTGAAATCATAAATGAAAAGATAAATAAAAATTAATCATAATCACTAAAAATTAATTTCATTAAAAACAGTATTTAAAAAGCAAAATTATACAAACTAATAGAAACAAAATCTATTGTATATTACTAAAATGCAATTGTTAATGTGAG